ATTACTTAAATAATATATAGTATATATATATATATATATATATATATATAGTGTCATCAGTACTAAATATGTTTAAAAATGTAGAAATTAAGCGAGTTTATTTTCATTACATGTACAGGTAGTGATATATTTTACGATCTTTTTATCAATTCTACATAAGTAGCATATATACCGTTTTCTTAGATATCCTTGGATATCCAGGTTACCCATATCAGTTAACTAGGTTAATCAATTGTGTTTCTATGTTTTAATTGTGTATTTAGACGTAATAGACGCTTTTAGGATATTTTATAACATTTTATAATATAGTTTATAAAAATATATAAGCAAAATGATGATATTATATTATATTTGTAAGAATAATGATTTGAAAATTAAAAATGAAAAAATTTAAAAGGTTTAACAGGGTATAAAAGAATAAATATCATATGGATAGAAATGAAAATGATGTGAATTATATTTACAAATTACGTAAATGAATTAGATATTTCTTACTTAAGGCTTTATTGAAATCAGTATTCGAGTCGAATATGGTATAATATAAAATCACATTGTGTCATGTTCAAACTTTTTTCTGACGCTTTATTTTGCTTTTAAATGTAATTTTAAGCGTCTTAAGTGATTTGATCAATTCACTATATATCGTATCATTTGCATATTATTATTCAGCGTTGTATAATCTGAAATCTAAAAAAGAATATTATCAACTAAAATAAAAATTTTATACAGAATCTACTAGCTATAAAAAATTTAGAATAGAATGCATATCATTTTATTATTTTTCAAAATAATATTGTCAAAAATTTAATATTATACGTATTCATGCATATTTATATGAATATTTCATTGATCAATTCAATTATTTAAAAAGAAACAGAAATTAATACGTTCAAAACAAAATTATCGATATTTATAATAGTGGTGCTGTTTTTAAAATGCATATAAAAAAAGTTGAATAAGATATTGATCAATATAAAAGTCACCGTTTAATTAAAGCGGTTGGTCAGTGACATTACGATTCTGAAAATATCAAATTGGAATTGCAATCGAATTCGAATTCTTTGTTTCGTTGAAATATTTTTCGTCCGTTAGAAATACAGAATAATTAATCATATCTTAAACGAGACAGTTCAGTTTTCTTCGATCCGTGAATTTGATTTTTGATCATGAATTATAAATATCTTAGTAAGCATATGCATCTGATCGCAGACCTCTTTTTATCGCATGGCACTGCATCATCAAAATTTCCTGTGAATTCTCGTACAACGGCCTCGATTGCAAAAATAATTGTGTGGAAATACGCGAATATAAACGCGTTTCTGGTCGACTTCGTAAAAAAAGAAACGAAAGATGCCAGATGCGTCCTCATTTCGTTAAAAATTAAGGAAAAATTGTACACATCCAATTGAAACAAGTATATTTTACACGCGATTTTTTTAAAGAATTTATCGTCAGTAAAAAAAATTACTGTCACTTAAAAAAAATATATTTATTACTTTATTATTTTCAAATAATTCTACTTTCTTTTTGTCGTATATTTATAATTGGCATCTTGCCGCATCTACTTATGTTTTCTCTATTGCGCTGCATCTCGAGCTGTACTCGCCACGTGCTTGCTTTTTTACTCTACATACACATATATGTGGAGCAAAAGAGAAATCAGATAAATAGCAAACATATTTGTAATATATCTTTTATAAATATGAATT